TTACTAGACGATGGAAGGTCCGGAGATAGGGATTAGCTCTATCTAGTGGGCCCAACTGTGTAGGAACCTGAAGACGGAGATAGAGTCACATCTCCGAAACGTCGTTTTTTACGTTTTATATTTACTAGACGATGGATAATATCCAAGGAAATTTTTATTCGAATAAAATCAGTAACTCTTGTATTTTCATTTATCAGTATTTTCCTATTTATTAAAAATCTACTTAGGGACTGCAAACTTCAATTTGGGCTTAATTTTCTATGTCATAATTACATTTAAAATTCTAACATGAACATCCAACTGAAGTACAATAGGATTTTCTCACATGCCGTAATTTACGTACGTCGTAAATGATCGGCTATGAACGTTTTTGTCTAGATCAGAGGGAACACGATACAAAAAATAATCCTTCGTGTGTTATGTGTCACGTTAAAAACTGTTACTTTAATTTAATTAAATTGTATTGTTTATATATTTTAATCAGCATTTTTTTAGACCAAATACGTAAAGACATAAACACTCTGAACTAAGTGGCAGTGACTGTACCTGAAATTTAATCTGATCTTTATTTGTGAACGTAAATTTGATTGGTTACTGTAATTTCCAAATATACGAACTGCCACATTTTCTAAAATTTTGTTAGCTACCAATTGTAGAATTTATAGGGCCTGAAACTTTTACCAGAACGGGGTTTAGGTCTTCAAGTTAATTTTCCTTATCTTTTAAAAAAATACTCTGAAGCAATTTCTTAATATTTATGTGGCAATTTTTCCAGGCGCTTGCCATTATCTGCATGGCCCTTCATTACCACAGTCAGACGGGAAGCAACTCATTCCACGAACTCATGATAATCAGCGCTGCATTCGGAGGTTACATTGTTATTTTGGTTGGCATACTGACAGGCATCTTTACTGGTCAGCCTGTCAACAAGCGAATAGTAAGCATGTCACGTATTTATGCTCGTCGTCAGTTTCCAGTTCTAGTTATAAATGCATAAATTTGTGTGGCAATATCAATGATAATGGGATAATATTAAAAAAGATTGGTAGCATTTAAACTGGGTTATCTGGCTCCAGACATGCTACAGTCGTTCAACTCCACGATGTTCTAAACACTTAGAACTGAATTTATTAATATTTGTAAAAGTTCTCCCATCACGCAAAATCACTCTATGTACCTGATATAACTACGCAAAATTATTAAACAAATTTATTTACTTTACAGAACCACTTATAGGGCTTACCAATAGGTTAAGTTCCTCAAATGTGTCATTTAAACAGACATTGACTTTATAGGTTATAATGCATGATTCAGTCTTTTAAATATTTATACACAAATAATCATGCAATGTATCCAACATAACAGGAAGACTGACTTTGAACTGTCTGGTTTCCTCTTTTCAAAACACGCCTTGAAATTACGAAATGAAACTTCTGCACTCATTTTATCAAAGTCAAAATAAATTGGTTTAGTAAACGAAAAGAATATTACCTAAGGACAAGTCAAAATTACATATCCCTAGGATTGGTATATTGGCAAACCTGGCAGTAGTTAATAATTCATTTTCGTGCTGTTGTCAACACTGCTATTTTTACTATTTTTCGAAGTTATTTTCAAGATCCCATTTTGTGAAGTGGGTGATGATATTATTATTATTATTATTATTATTATTAAATGTCACTAAGCCGATTATAATTGACGTAAACTATCATTAAGCAAGTATATCAGTACATTCATATATGCACACACATAACCTCTAATGCATACCTTATATAAAGGTGAAGGTCTATACACCATACGAAGCAATTAAAATTATTGAAAAAAATTAATTATTAACAAGTTCCTTACAAAAAACACCAAGGGAAGAATAAATGCATAAAATTGCCTTAATTTCCTGGCCAGGTTATATCCACTGACACGTAAAACTACCTATGAATTATTATTGCAGTTAAATTCATTCGGATTCTCTAATTTTTAGAAGAAAATCTTGAACAATCTGTCTCTTTTCAGGACATTTTCTACAGCTTGGTCGGCTGTGCCCTGTTCATTGCCGCCGGATCCTTCGTAATACAGTATTTCGACAGATACTATGGCTCGAAGGAAACTCGAAACATCGGCCTCTCCAAGGGGGCCATTGCGATCATCAACGGAGTCGTGTTCCTCGTTGACTCGGTTCTCAGCTTCCGCGGGGAATAAATCTCACACCTTTTCAATTTAATATGGGTTAATATGCAAAGGACCCTCATATTTTGTAACTCAGTGTTTCGGTTGTGTTTAACTGAATATTTTGAATTTATAATTTAATCAGAAGTCTAGATTATTTTTCATTTCATATCTTCTGTACATACATGTATGACCTCATAACCAATAGGTGTATACTAAACACAAAATTAATAATTACAAAGTTAATTTTATAATTTTCCTGAACGTTGGCACACACGTCCGAATGAATGTTCTAATCACAAGGTAAACACACGGCGTGACTATTATCTATTTTACAAATTAACTGTGCGACACAGGTAACACGTGTGGAAAACGACATTAATTTAATTGCTTTTGATGTTAATAGTGCAACTGAATATAAATTTTCTGTTTCAAATCAGTAACAAAGAGCAGAATATTACGAAGAAACCAAATATAAATTCTTTATTCTTATTTTTATTTTGACTGTGTATAAAATGGAAAAGCCTTAAAGTGTTCAATTGTAAGTCGTTACATATTATTGTAAAAATAACCATTTTAATAACACTGAACTGTATTACTTTTTGATGTTCGCATTTAGTTTAAAATGCATTTATTATTACTTTATTAACTGCTATTTCAAAATCTGAAAGAAATTTTCCTTCGTGTTTATTGCAGTAAGAATTTTATGTTTACAAGTGGACAATAATTTTCCTGATATATAAAATGTAAAGTACAGTCACTCGTAGGTGTCCCAAAAAGGGCAGTTTTTATTCACAGTTGAAGTTTAACGATGAACAGAAACTGTGGGGGAAAAAAAAATATTTAATTTTTTTATTTTAACTGAATGAATAACTTTTGCATGTTTCATAAATGTTAAATAAATTACAATCCGCGTACTTTGAAGCACATCTTCATAACAATTTTGTTTGCTTACTTCATAGTCAGAAAACAGCAGGTTTTCAGAATTTATATAAAAAAAATGACTCTCATCAAAATGCAATCTCTGGCAGTGTCTTAAAACGTATTTCTGCAAACACGAATTGCTTCTGTGTTATATAAGGGTTTTATCTGACATTGATTATTTAATATGATAAAATGTCAGTCTTTAAGTGAAACTGAATTATTAATGAATGTGGGATTTCATGAACTTTGCCTTCGTAATTTTACATCGCAAAATAATCTTCATAAATGACTTCCTTGCGTAATGAAATCTGTGTCTTTCGTGATCACGTTAAAAACTTCTGCATACGCTTATACAGAAAGTAGCGCATTACAGTTTTCAGTTCGTAACTAACGAACTCAGGTCTATCATTTCATTGTCTTTTTCTAAATTTAATCTTATATCATTTTTGTTTACTTTATTTTAATGTTAACTTAATGATGTATTTGTAAGTTTCTTCTCAAATGAACTGCGTTCAAATTATTTATCCTAGAAAAAAATATTAATATTCTACATTATTATAAACAGCAGTTTAATTGCTACCTACTGAGATTGGCTATTTTAAGTTGCCCCGAGGAAGGGCATCCTTTAATTTGGCTATTTTAAGTTGCCCCGAGGAAGAGCATGAAGATGCAATATTAAATTGACAGTTAAATTCCTTTAACTACGCAGCACAAGTAAAGAATTTGTCTCATGTTAAAAGTCTCAAACTACGAGGAGGTAACAAAGAAAAGCTGGTACTGAAAATGTCAGCGGAGAGTTTAGTGACGATTTTACTCGTACCAGCATTTAATCTGACTGAAGTCGAACAAGCATCTGTTACCATACAGCGCAACATTTGACAGTCCGCATCATGAGACATTCTTCTCCTGTGTCACGTGACTTCATTTACCGAGATATGAAAATGAATATTTATTGGTCTGTGCTGCAACCAATATTGAAGCATTTGAAGTCTTATAAAAATGATTACAATACGTTTGTAAAACAAGAAAAACATTTTCACCTTAAAATATTGCGCAGTTAAAATGGTTAAAAATGTGTAATACTGAGGATCAGCTTTAATTTTTAAATTAACTGTATGGAAACTGTAATGAAATCAATGACTTTGATGACCAAGGCATTTATATATAATAATTTTCTCATTACAAAAGAATATTTATTATTTTTGTACATGTATACATTCACTATACATTTAATAGTGATATTTTTGTAATGATCGACTACGCACTTTCTTACTTACATTTCCTACTCCACTATTAAGAAAGTGTTTCTTTCTACATTTGTGTTTTAAGCTAATTTACTGCCGATCTTGTATTGAAAATTTCTGTATGTGTTACATCTGAAAATATACAATTTTATGTTTTGTGTCTTGCTTTCTTTGTATGCGCAAAGAACTGTTGTTTTTCCCATGTACAAATGACTTTATTGATGGAGTTTATATCATAATAATTTTCTATAATCTCATTGGCCAGTCCGCGACACTATCTTATGTGCAGCAAGTTTGAAACTGCATGTATTTTCCTTATAAAATGGCTGCCTTCTGGGTTGTAGCACCGTGTAATCTGGTGGAAGTTTGCATACATTTCAGAGGTCCTTGTAAGGCTCTCTGAAAAGTTGGTACACATCTTCCAGACTTCACGGTGCTACAACCCAGAAGACAAGACATCTTCATACCCACTGCTGTGATAACCTCAAATCCTACTTTATTTTGATTGGAGCTACAGAATATACATTTCATGGACCACCTGACGAATTACATCAGATGCTCTCTTTATTGCAAGAAATGCACATGAGAATTTATTAAAGTCTTCAAAGCTCTTCCACCGTTTCAGTGTCATGATTTGCCATTCTACATTGATGATCACTGGCCCATGACACTTGAGTTGAAACTGTGGTAATGGAGAATATAAAAGATGCAATGCTATTATGGAGGGTTAAATTTATTAATTAGTTTTCAGTGCCAAACTAAATATCTGCATATCTCCCAAGAGTGGTGGTACTCACTTCTCAGGTGGGTACATACATTGCTTGTGTCCGTGATATTGATGGCAAATGTTAAAGAATCTGACTAGTTCCTGAAAGGAACAATTCGAATCTAGCTTAATGGACAAAAGATGTTATTTTCCTTGGTTTCCCTTAGTCTCTCCAAACACTGTGACAATACATAAAAATTGCCAAGGGGTGCATTTCGTCGTTTTGACTTACAGCACAAAGTCATCACATCTAAAAGCATTCAGTGCTACATAATCTCAGTAAATGATAACTTACGTTACGAAATGACTTCCTCAGATGGTCATTAAAAGGTAAAAAAAGGCCTGGAAAACACTTTCTTCGAAAACGGAAGCAAAACACTACACGGCCATTCCTGTACTACATATTATACGGTGGAAACATCTGTGATTACATGGCGTCTAGTTTTCATATTCTGTCACAGCCACAGTTACAGTAGCTGAATTGCATATGCTTATCTAAACTGACAAAAGATGGCAGCATTGATCAAGTTAGCTACTGGATATGCACATAGTATGTGATTTATGTGACGAGTAACCTACCCGGATAATTGTGTCGCTCAGCCAATAAACCCTGATGATGGAGTCAGAGAAAACTTCCAAAACGTATATTCCATTCACACAAAGGTAACTGAACGAAAATACTTCACAATATACTTCAGAATGGAACAGTTTCGGCAGTGTGGACACTACTAACCCAAGCAATACGAGAAACTAGTTCAGTTAATCGACGCAGGAGCGCAAGCGTAGACATAGTACACTGTATTGCTAGCAGATGGCATAAGCTTATCATCAGAACATGCCATGGTGACCAACTGGTTCATTAACCTTAGAGTAGAAACAGCTCGAAATCAAGTTTGTGGTCCGAGGGATTTCAGACTGTCATGGTGGCAACTTTGAAGATGACTGAATTCTGAGATCCTGCGCCGTGTAATTTGGTACAAGAACGCCGACGTTTCGAACATGATCGCCGCTCTCAAGGTACACGCAATCAAACGAAAGCTGTCGCCGCTCTCAAGGTACACGCAATCAATCAATCTTCACTCGCCTTTGCTTCGATGTACAATTTCGATGTGACTCTGACGCATTGAATTTGGTGACGGCTGCTAATTTCCGTGCTTTTATTTTATAAACGTGAAATACAAAGCACACGGCGATGAGGAAAATGATGTTCTGGATTATGACGCAGTATGGACTCGGAGATAAACATTAATATTTTGGAGAAACATACTGTCTCCATCTTCAGGAAGATAGTATGTCTTTACGATACGCTGATATTTTCCTACGAGTGAACATGACGTCACAAACCCAGAACAATAACACTGCCAAGAGTGATCTTGTCTATCCGTCTGTCTATGATAAAATTTATGTTGCTTCAACAGAGTCAGGTACGTAAGAATTAATCGATCGATCGATCGATCGATTTGCAAACTTGACTCTCTCGAAAGTCTACCTCGATTACGAAAAAAAAAAACGAATCCAAGAATATGGCCCGGAATTCGATCCCTGGATCGTCTGAATATGATTCCGAATTTTTAACAACAGAATTAACTTGGTAGTCACTTGTACTTAACTTTGACATCTTTCAAAATTTGATTTGTCAGAAATAAGTGATGTCAGATAACAGCACATAACCTAAATCCCCGCGCCACGGAAGCACCTCCATATGTTATGACTGAACGATATCTCGAAAATCATTTCTCTACCATCTGTGGAACAATGGAATTTGATTCTATGTAGTTCAATTTGCAGATAGCATTAAAATGTTTATCTATGCTCGGTGCGTTAATGCCATTATGTGATGCCAAGTAAATTAACACAGACTGAAGGGGGGAAGTTTAGTGCATTGTGTTGTCGCATTATTATTAGTGGCGCTGCCATCTGTGAGTGAGATTGTCGTTTATTGTTAGTAAAGACCACAGTATATTGTAATCATAGATAGATTCGATTCGAGATTAATCGGAATTGGGATGTGATTCGCATTGAATGCAACTCAATTACAGGGACTTGCGCAATATTAACTGTCGCTTAGCAACAACCACATGAGTGATGGCGGGTACAATCAAGCCAACAAATGACGGTCGTATTATCGTACGCTATTGACTGACGGTGATGTTGGGTTACGCGTTGTATAAAGCTCAGTAGACAGTCGTGAATGATAATTAATGTATTATATACTCTAAGAAAATAAATCCACGGAAATTGAGGTTAAAATAACAATTCTAAAGTAAATTTAGCCTACATAAGAATCACTGGAAGGAAAAAGTTGTCAGTGGAACCACGGTTCCGGAGAATTTGACGTAAATACGTCTAAACGGAAAGGAAGTTTATATATTGGCTTTATTCTAAATATTTCCTTTATACATGCTTTACAATTGAGTAAAGTTTGATTAAGACTTTGCTTAATCAACTTGAATTACTGAATGTAATGAAATGTAGTGTAATATGTAAGTAATGAATGTGGGATTTCATGAACTTTGCCTTCGTAATTTTACATCGCAGAATAATCTTCATAAATGACTTCCTTGCGTAATGAAATCTGTGTCTTTCGTGACCACGTAAAAACTTCTGCATACGCTTATACAGAAAGTAGCGCATTACAGTTTTCAGTTCGTAACTATCGAACTCAGGTCTATCATTTCATTGCCTTTCTAAATTTAGTCCTATTGATTTTCGTCCAATATTTCAGTCGTCAATCAGTCTGTGACCCAGTTGTTGTAACGCCCTCTACTTCGGATGTTATGTTGGATGTACATACCTCACCAGGCAGATGCCTACAAGTAAAACGAAAACTGTTTGTAATCGTGGCAATCTTGAGCGCTGCTGGACGTGTTAACCTTGTAAAGACTTCAGCACACAAAGCAAACGAGAAGACAATCGTTCGGTGACGTCACACGTGCGCTGCAAGGTTGTGAAACGGAATTCCCGTTTAAATTCAGAGGCGCGGACGAATACTGGCCGCGGAAGGTCGGGTTGTAGCGGTTATCACTTCCGCTTTATGTTCCGAAGATCGTAGGTTATTGTTGAAAGAATTTCCTGTCTGAGTTTTTCCTCAGTCCTTCCAGGAAAATTCTCGATAAATGCCTTTACTTGATCATTATTTTAAATTGTGATTTGACATATTTTTTTGTGATAAATTTCCATCAAAAATTTTTTGGTCGGAGTGACTTCCGTCGTTTGTTACAGAGGGATAGAACAAAAAGTTTAGAATGCCTTATTTACAAACCGAATTAAGGTGAAGAAATCTCGACATTTGACGTTGTTTGTGCGGTTCCTGTAATGTCGCTGAGTTTACCAGAAAGAAAATATTTGAGCATGAGTGTATCGTAGAGTTTAATTATCATTGGTAATATTTTTAATATAGGCTAAACCATTATCGCATGAGAAAGGTTTCGTTGTGCGATGCTGAATCACTCCAACGTTAAAAGTTTATTTATTTTCTTGAAGTATCAAAAATAACGCCCACTTTTCTAAGTGACTCGTTTAACTGAATTGTTTATGAGAATTTAATAATTTGCTCTTGCCAGGGTAAAGGGTTATCAACCCTGAAAGCTCAGGAAACGGAAAATAATTAGCGGAAAGTTCTCAGATTACGTGTTTACTGATTTTTTTAAAATAAAAGTATAGAAATTTGGTGACATAATTTACACCTAAACGTAAGACTGAAGTGGTAATTATTCTAAATGACAGGTGGTATGAAATGTAGCAGTCGTTCTTCTGCCGTAATTTTTCGGTTTAGACGTCTTTATCTTGGGCCTCCAAATTGTGAATGGTGAAGTGAGATGGTTATGGAATGAGGCAGTAAGTGATGTATCTCTTCAGTCACTTGGAGGAACAGTTCAAACAGCCCCCAAGATTTTACTGTACTAGATTCGAACCTAGTACACCTTAAATGCATGAATATTTGTCTAGTGATTTTCAACAGGTGTGTAATTAAATTAAAGCATATTTTTGGGCATTTACATTCGTCTGTAAAATAAAAAAAATAATATAAATAAGGTTTCGGAAGGTTGTTCTGTTTACGTCATCAGGGAAAACCATACAGCCTCGTCCGTTGAGGCCACTAGAGGAACTTAATCTCAGTTTCCTGTTGCTATGGTGCCACAAATCTGCCTAGTGGCGACCCAGGTATGTTTGCTCTGTACCCACAGGTCTTGCAGCGATGCGAGTTTTGAAATGGATCTGAGCCCGTTTATCTTAGTCAACGCGTCGGACTTGTAATCGGGATGCTGTCTGATAGAATATCGTCGGTGACATCAGTCAGTAAGAACAGAAATGTTGGTACAGTTCTTAGGTTTCTCCAGACAAATATAACCTAAGAATAGGTCATATTCTTTTCTTTTCATATCTTCCCAATTGGGCATTCGCCACTTTCCTATCGTGTTTAATTCGCTATTATTGGGACACTGAAAAGCACCTACGTGTTATATAAAACCAGTACGAAACAAAATTAAATGTACAACCACAATTATTATTTTTTTCGAAATATATTGCCTCTATATGGAATTGAAACATATAGTTAGACAGACTGATAGATGGGACCACCTACCGCAATAAATTTTTGAGGGGGGGGTGATATCGAGTTATTGAGTATTCAGGCAGAGTAATCTGAATAAATTCTCACCGTCCTATAAGAAGTAAAAAATACCACAACCACTTTTATTCCCGTCCCTTCTGAATCGCCATTTATAATAACATGCTAGAGGCCGAGCGAGAAATGCTGGCACTTGCGCAAAGGACTGATTTTGGTCGTATGAGATAGACCCGTCCGAAGCACGCGCTAGGGGGGTGTCAGCTTCAGTTGGTTTGTAGCTCTAGCTGTGTTTAGATCGGTGCGTCACCGCAGCTGAGGCTGTGCGACCCCCACTACTACTGAATTCCCTTCTCTCGGTTTACACATTGCGCATTTAGGTGGACACGACTACTCGCGCTACCTATACATAACCTCTGTAGAATGTCTTAAAGGTTTGTAAAGATGTTTTATTAATTATGCCTGTACCAATATCATGTTTGGCATTGTCCGTTGCCTATAACTAACATTGTGTAAAGACGTATAAAATTTACTTCATACAACTTCAACAGTTACAGTTGTAATACAAAGATGACTAAGATTTTGGGGACGAGAGACAGATAAACACGAAGACCAGATTAGCACGAAACTAAGATGAAAGGAAACAAGGGAAGGAACAGACAGAGAAGTTGAATGTAATTAGTAATTGATTTTTACGAAGACAATTCGAAAGGATACAGTAAGCAGACGCTATGATGGGATGAAAATCCATGGTCTTAAACAAAAGAGTAAAGTACGTATTATAAAGCTTCTTATACTTTAATTCTATCTTCAAATCCAAGCAGCAAAATCCCAGTTTATGCCGATTTTCTGACAATCGAATGGTTGCGGTATAAC